TAATAACAATAAGTGAATTACTATTAGCTCACAAAGACATGGTCATGGACTACAGCTAACACTGCTTTAAAATGGCAACCTGTTTTCCTCAAAACAATTTGTTTTATATAAGAATCTATAGGTGGAAAATAGCATAAGTAAAGTTGGTTTAGTAGTTAGTTTAACATATTTTTAAGACAACTCGAGAGAGAGCGAGAGGTGATTGGTAGAAGAATTCACAAACAAAATGAATTACCTGGTATCTTTATCACATCCCCAGTTCTCTTCCTTGACTCTGTCTTAATTCTTGAAGCTGGAACAGAGAGATCCAAAGGCATAAACTGATGAACAATTAAAAATCATCCAAACGGTGACAAATTCTAAATACTAACATTTATAATTTTTCCCTGTTAATAATCTTTTCATTTAATACCCAAAGTGTGAATGCATCTCTAGTCAAGATACTAAAGCCATCGAGCAAATATTACAATACTGAAGACAAGCAGCAGCACTTGAACTTTAACGGCATGGTCAAATCAACAACAACGCCATTTCTACAAACTAAAGCCTTACTGATGAGAGGTTCCCCCAAACATATGTTATTTGAAATTATTTAATGTGCATACACAGTTAATGTCAAAAATGTCAGGCTCCTCATCACTGCTTCTCTCTCCGAACGATTCTGGTTGTTTTGATTGACAGGTTTGTTTTTTAGGACCTTAGTGATCCAAGAGTGCCAATTGGTTGGCAGAAGTTGATTGACAAGTGATTCCACTAATTAGGCAAAGTGAGAGGAGACGATGTGTGCGCCGTGCTCTTTCATTGGCCCTCTAACTCTGGCTTGTGAACAACGTGGCTCGTCAGAGCAGGTGTATTAGAAGGATGAGTTTCCCGATCATTCTACGGCGTAAAGTGACTGATATATATAAAAAACACCTATCGAGACTGTCGCTCAGACGCCTAATACACGTGCACCACTTATTCGCACATATAGTTTAAAATATAGCGTTTCTAACAAGACAACGGCTTGAAAGCACTCTCACTGCAAACAGGTATCTCCGCTGTGTAATAGTGATGGGTCGTTCGCGAACGAAATGGCTCTAAGAGCCGGTTCTTTGACGTGAACGAGACGTCACGTAGGTTTTGG